TCAACCCAGGTGTGTCAAGTTGACACTAAAGCTATCCAGCACAACTACCTATTCCTAAAATTCCCATCAGCAGCTGAAACTGGGAATCCTGATTTGGCTTGAATGGAGAGCTCTGAAACCTGGAAGGGTTCTCCTAGGCTCCTGGAGATGGCCATGTGGCAGCTGAGCTTCTGTTTCTCTGGCTAGAGGCTCATTTAAAATTCCCAGACTCATCCATACTCTGGCACTTGGGTCAGTCATCATGAGATCTGATCCCCAAGATGGCCTGAGCCAGTCTCTTGCCTCCAGCAGAACAGCCTGAGACAAAATGAGACAACTACAACATGTTCAGAAGAACTGCTTTTACTTTTATGTGTACACGGAGCAACCTCTAGACATCTCTGGAACTGATGCACAGCTGTTCTCTACAGTGTGTCTTCTTAGGCGATGGGCAGTGATGTGACTGTGTTTGTTTCTTTCACAATCTTCCCCGCCTCTTCTTCCTCATAGGAAGCAAAAGACTGCCCTGAGCCTGAGCTGTTGCTGTCACAGGCTGACAGCCCCACAGACTCGGCATGCTGGTTCAGACCCTGTGTGCTGCATGCTTGTGCGTTCATTTCTCATTCGTTCTAAGTTCCTGCATGCTACTAAGGGAGAGAGTTAACTGTAAACCACTGTAATTAAATCATACTCATGAAAACTGTTTTTATGCTCTACTTTATGCTTTTGGTATTGTCAATCTTAAGTGGTCTCTAATAATTTATTGATTTTGTATTGCCTTATTAAGACTAAATACTTCTTGTCATCCCATTCTTTATCTTCTCCGTTCATGGAATTTTCTTTAATGAACACCATTTAAACATTAGCTTGTTTTAATCATACTGCAACTTTTGGCTGTGGTTGGCTTTGAGTTCAAATGAAATGTATAATTCTGTTTTCCATCACTTGCTGAGTTTGAAACTGTTAGGAATATTTACCATATTAGAATGTAAATGACATTTCTGAAAATGCTTCTTCAAGTAAAAGCCCTTATGTCTCTCTCATCAATGTGTATGGCTCTGTTCAGTACAGCCATTTCTGAGATGAGATTCTTGTGTGTGTGTGTGTGTGTGTGTGTGTGTGTGTGTATGCGTGTGAAGTACTGTTGGCTTTTAAAAGTTTCTTTTATATACAGTTGTACTGTATAAGCCATGAAAGATTATAAATGTTATTAGTTTGACCGTTTTAAATTTTAGAGTCACATTTTATTCTGATCAGAGTTTCCATCAAGGTGTTGAGGTTTTGTTTTTTAAACTAGCTTGTCATAACATTGTGACTAACCACAGAATTTATTGTATGGGACTGTTGTGAATATGTAGACTTATTTTTAGTACTAAGGGAAAATTATTAAAAATAAAGATTTATGGGCTGGGCGTGGTTGCGCATGCCTTTAATCCCAGCACTTGGGAGGCAGAGGCAGGAGGATCTCTGTGAGTAGGAGGCCAGATTGATCTATGTAGTAAGTTCCAGGTCAGCTGGGCCTACAGGGACGCAAAAAAAAAAAAAAAAAAAAAAAAAAAAAAAAAAAAAGAAGTAACAGCATCTAACAGGGAATCCTAACTGCTGCTATGACACCTGTAACATACAGTCAAGCTTAGGGAAGACAAGACAGACAGACAGTCTTCCCCAGACCACACCAGCCTCTCCACTTGAATCTCGGCAGGTGCCACCTATGCCCCTGTGTGTGGGATATGGCATCCAATGATCCCGAAGCCTGCCAGTATTATTTCCCCAACTGTGATAGAGGTAAGCCTTGATATGAAGACTTGAAGAACAGCAGGGGTGACTGGGAGCCTCACCTGCAGCACACTTGAGTTTGGTGAGGATGGCCTGGGTCTGGCTGTCCCGCTCTCCACGCTGCTGCAGAGGAAGGCAAAAGACATGAGAGGCCCCATTCTCATCCTGGGAGCTTCACTCCCAGTCTCCACCCTACCCTGAGAGGGGACAAGGGCAAGCTCAGGGGAGACTGAGGCTAGGAATGGATGAGGGGAGGCCTCCAGGGGTCACACTTCTAGGGCAGGGAATTGATGGAGATGGACCTTACCTCAGCAATCTCTGGAGTAGACTCAGCCTTGCTGACATAGCTTAGTACATGAGACCAATTTTGCAAATAGACACTGACCTGGCAGACAAATAGGAAGGACCAGACTGAGCCTGGGTTGCACGTTCTGGGTCCACCCAGGCCTGCCCACCATTTACCCAGGCCACCTTGATGACATTGAGGCACATGTTGATGACATGCTTAGCACTGGTGCAGTAGTCTCGGGCCCGAGAGTAACATTTGAGGGCATTGCTAAGGTCCCCACAGTCCAGGTAGTGGTCACCCAGGTCATCATGGCCGCGCCTATGGGTCTGATAGTGAGTGGATACTGGTCGAGGGGCCAGTCAGGCCCAGCTGCCCACCTCCCCTGCCCCAGACAGGCCAGCACCTGATGCTCTCCTTGATGGAGTTGCCCTTATAGTTCTTCAGGTCCGTGTCCAGCTTCTCTAGCTTCAACAGGGCCTTCTTCCGAGTGGCCTCCACCCAGGCTGTGTCCAGGGGTGGGGGCTCCACTCCACTCTCAGGAATGGCATCAGGTGCGTTCTGCAGCTCCCTGAAGGAGAACCTGACCATCAGGATAGTGACAATCACTGGGTTCAGGGAGGAGGGGGAGAGGATGTCACCAGCTACAGGTGTTCAAGAGGCCTTTGCCTGTCTTCCTGCCCCACTAGGGGCATAGAGACAACCACTGACCTAGGAGCCCACGACCAAGTAGGGAAACTTAATGAAGAATGGGAGTTACTGGTCCAGTGCAGCCAGGCTTCTGTGAAAGAAACACAGCTGCACCAGCTTCTCCAGATTCGGGAACCCTAACTGCCTGTGCAGAGGGCAAAGGAATCCAGGGAAGGGAGAGCAGAGACTGCCACCACCTCCCTGCTGGGATTCTCCCCAGGGACGTGTGCTTCCCATCTGTGGAGGGGCTGCTACGGGAGCATCTCAGCAAGAGTACAGAAAGGCCCCCAGCCAGGCCAACAGTGGTCACTGTCTCCTGCTAAGGCATCACCTGGTGGCCTCAGAGAGTTTCCGGTGGATCTCTTCATACATGTCTACATTGAAGGTCCTCTGCACGAAGGAGAGAGCCATTTTCAGGGCCTCCACCCTCAGAGGAGGACAACGATCAGCGATGAACTGCAGCCGCTCGATGCGCATCAGGCCACTGTAGCTGGCTGCATACTGCTCCAGATCCTAGGCATGGGGTTGTGGGGAAGACAAGGTCAGTTATGTACGGACCCGACAACCCCAGCCAGAACACTAGGACTTCCCCTGGGCCTTGGGCCCATGACAGGCTCTAGGCATGGGGGCGGGGGCACCAGCTTGAATGCTGTCCCAGGTGCTAAGAAGAAACCACTGGGCACACTAGGGATCTCTAGGTTGGAGCTCTACACTGGGAGGTGGGATATGAGCACTCACTGGCAAGTACGGATGCTGGGCTGAGCACTGAGGAGAGTGTGTTGGCCCCAAGTAGACCTTTCCTCACTGTGACTTAATGGAGCTGTTACTCATGGAGAAGTGAGTGCAGGGACTCAGGATGGCCTGAGAACCCAACAAAAGTGGGCAAATGAAGCACCAAAAAGTTTCCTCAGAAAGATATGAGCAGAGAGGTCACTGAGAAGCATCCATCTTCCCAGGGCATACATGCTAGTGGGGAGACTGACATGGATCCCTCAATAGAGCCAAGACACCCCATCCCCGCAAATGGCTCTGTACCAGGGTGGGGTTCTCCACCACGTAGTTGATGTCAGGTGCGTTCTGGGGATCTTCCTGGGGATCCACGTCGATCTGCATGGGCTCCACAGCCCCCTGCAACACAGGAGGACCATCCTGATCCGTGGCACCAGGGAAAGCAGGAGACGGTCCTGTCCCAGGTGGTCAGCTCTGCCAAGGCTCCTCAAGGCTCAGCTGAGTTGGTCTCACAGATGCCAGTCCCCGGCCCCCTTCCCCGGCGGACCCGGCCATCGAAGGCCTCAAACGCTCCCGGCCGTCATCCCGATGCAGTTTACTCCAAGCCACAGAAACACATTTGCTACCCTGACCCGAGGGCAGGAGGCCAAAGCAGACAGGCCACGATGGGGCGGGGCCGGGACCTCGGCCGGCCCGGAGCGGCCTCCCGCGGCGCGGCGGTACCTCGGAGAGCAGCATGCAGGCCGACAGGCTGGCGCTCAGGCTGTAGTCGCCGGCTGTGCCGGGCCGCAGGTCCGACCTGCTGTGCGCGGGGCTGCGGCTCAGGTCGGACGCCGACGATGAGGCCGAGCTGGGCGCCGGGCTGCCCCGCATCCTGGCCGGCGGCCGCACGAAAAGCGTTGGCGCGGGAGGCGGGTGGGGCCGGGGCCGAGCGCGGACCGCGAGGCAGGCGACGTTCGCGCCCAGGCGG